CGATTCAAAAATGATATAAAAGGTTAGCGCGTCACGTTTGAGTTGACCAATCATTACGACGCAAAGGCTTACCTGGATGTTCATCTAAATTGGGTTAGGAGACCAAAAGAGGCAAAGTTAGTTACCGGACAAGACAATATCATAACCAATCATTACGACGCAAAGGCTTACTTGGATATTCACCTAAATTGGGTTAGAATGTTAGATTATCAAAAAAATAGTAGGCAAATATTTATTTGTTATGACTCGCCTCAAAGACCAAAAAAAAGTTTTAACTTTACCTAAAAGTGTACTAAGAGAAGCCTTAACTTCTTTATCACTTCCTTCGAAATATTCAAGTCGGTTCTTCATATCCATCCCTAGAAGTTGACCTTTGATTGTACCACGCATCTCTTCGTCAGCGAAAAGTTTTTCTAATTTCAACTTTGCGTTCTTCTACTCGTTATCCATTATCTGTTATTATTAAAAGTAAAAAAAAATTTTTCTCTAGGTAGATAGTTTCAATAAGTAAATATAATGAAAGCCGATTTCTGTAAAGAGTTTTATATTAGACTTATTGACTATATATATATGGTTCGGAATAAACTTCATTAATTATGTAAACGCGTTCTAAGCTTATGATTATTAATTGAGAACGCGTTTTGTGATCGAAACTCCGAAGTATGAGATTCTTGTCAACATCGGTTCATCTGTTGATAAAATAATTTATTTTTTGATCTAATAATATCTAATATCATTAAAAAATTCGAGTCATTGTGAGATATTTTGACGAACTAAATAATATCGTCTAATACATATTTATTTTATGCTTTAATTTTCATTCTGCGTTATATATACTATACATGTGATTTTTTTTTGATGCAACTGAGAAACTTTATTAATAATTTTAGAATGAATTGAATGAATTAATTATATGATGCTATCAAAGAGGGAGGGAGTACGCGGATCCTAGGCCATTTAATACGAGTCCCAGCATCAAGTTATTTCTTTGCTCTCTCACATTTTCAAAAAATATCTACAACTAATTTGTTTCTATCACTAACTAAAAGATTCACATCCCTATACTCTTTTACTACACAAAATAAATTATCCCACCCATACTATCTATATCACTATCATCTAGACTATACATGAAGTCGAAATGAAAACCCAAAAGTCGAAATGTTTCGACTTTGGAGGTCAAAGTCGAAATGAAAA